ATTCCTCGAGATAAAAAGTACAAGAAAAATTTAAACTCGACAGAAGCTAGAGCCTGTACTATTGTTCAACAAAAGTCGGTGCAACTTCTTGAAACTTGGGATTCGGTGATTAGAAAGTATTCTGATGTAATTGATATCGGTTTGATCTCTTTTCCAAGTCCGAATACTTTGCAAACACGTCGTTGTGTGAGACTCACTAATAATAATTTTTATTTAGAGCCCTCCGTCCGTACGAATGTTATTTAAAGAAAAGGCAATCATAGATGCTCTTGAAATATTCTTGATGATTCCACCCCACAACTTTCTGTCACTAAGAAATTTAAATATCGAAGCATATCCGCAGTCCCTGAAAAAAATTCAATTAAGACAATCTATCATGAAATATAAATAAGAATAATTTTATTTATTTCCAAAATCATATTTAAAAATAATTTTATCAAAGATGGGTATTCAAGTATAAAGTCAAAGTTTGTGCATAAAAGTAATTCAACTTACAGTATATGTATTTTGTATTAAGATTAAATAAACTTTATACTGTATATACTTGTTTGATTATGAGAAAAATATATATACCTGTATATATATATATATTATGCAATTAATATTATTACACAGTAAAAAAAAAATATGATTGTCAATATAATTTCAAATTGGTTAATTAAATCGATTAATTACTTAATAATTTTATTTAAGTTATAATTATAAAAAATCTACTTAAATTTATTATGGAACAGAAATAAAAAAATTTTATTATAATTACAGTACATTATTTGTTTCACAAATAGCTAAAACACAACCAAGAGATTGATATGAAATGATTACTCAAAGCAACTCGTACTTCAAGAATATGTTCTACATGCACACATACAGATTATAGGAGGAAGGTTTACAATTATGGACAGGGATGTAATGGAGCGCAGTGGATATTCCTTTGCACGTTACTTGATGAAGCCACACTTTATGCATATTTAGGCATTAATAATCACGCTTAGCAAAGACTAGCATAGATATTAATAATGAATTGCAATTCGTCCGCTTATTTTGATGTCTTACTTAAATTAAAACAAGACTTAACTAATGCACTAAATATTTGGTCTGTATATATCCTGTACTCATTTTTTTCCACATGTTACGCATGTACAGGTTTGATTCCGGTGCATATTCCAACAGCTTTTACAAAACCTTCTTATTAACGGGATCGATTTTCTTATTTCCCGACAA